TATGTCTGTCTGTCTGTGTGTCAGTATATATGTGTGTGTGTATATCTGTGTGTGTCAGTATGTGTGTGTCAGTATGTCTGTCAGTGCGCCAGTATGTCTGTTAGTGCATGTGTATGCATGTGTCAGTATATCTGTCTGTGTGCCAGTATGTCTGTGTGTGTGTGTGTCAGTATATCAGTCTGTGTGTGTCAGTGTATGTGCCTGTGTGTGTGTGTGTGTGTCAGTATTTCTCAGTGTATGTGGGTGTCAGTATATCTGTCAGTGTGTGAGTGTCAGTATTTCTGTCAGTGTATGTGTGTCAGTATGTTGATCAGTGTATGTGTCTGTGTGTGTCAGTATGTCGGTATATGTGTCTGTGTGTCAGTATGTCGGTATATGTGTCTGTGTGTCAGTATGTCTGTATATGTGCCTGTGTCAGTATGTCTGTCAGTACGTCTACCAGTGTATGTGTCTGTGTGTGTGTCAATATATGTACCTGTGTCAGTGTGTCTGTCAGTGTATGTGTCTGTTTATCTGTATGTAGTCAGTGTATGTATCTGTGTATCTGCTTGTGCGTCAGAGTGTGTACCTGTGCATCTGAGCCGCAACTTTAAATACAAATACACCCCTCCATTCAAACTTCAACACTACATATAAAACACACTCGTGCATTGAAACGTCAACACTACATACAAGCACACTCCTACATTCAAAAACAAACACTACACATAAATGCACACTTGCATTCAAACTCCAGTACCACATACAAACACATTCACACAAACATACTCCATACAAACACATGCTTACATTCAAACATACTAACATGGCTCAGTGCTAAATACAACCCTGCAAGCATGGGAAATTGGTAGAGTCCCAGCTGTCAAAGCATTGTTGGAGTTGCACGACAGATGGGGTTCTACCTTTAGTCCAACCTTGCAATTGGGGGTCCCAATAAAATTCATTCTACTTTAGTACCGCCACTGCGTTGGGATGGATGCCGTGATTGCATACCAGGGAGTGAGGGGCGAGAGCGGCAGGGCACAGGGGGCCCAAGCAAACACTTGCCCAGGGTCCATTCGTTATTAAAGACGGCCCTGGATTCTAAATGATGAAAAAGACCACTAGCTTAATCTGCATGACGTTCACAATACACACTAGAAAAAATACAAAACGCCTGAAGCCAATTAGGAATGGTATACAGGTCGTTTCCTGTCCTCATCTCTTTCTTGCCTTAAAGGGACACTCCAGGCATCCAGACCACTTCTGCGCATTGGAGTGGTCTGGGTGCCAACTCCTACTACCCTTAACCCTGCAAGGTAATTATTGCAGTTTTTTATAAACTGCAATAATTACCTTGCAGGGTTAACTCCACCTCTAGTGACTGTCTACTAGACAGCCACTAGAGGGCACTTCCGTGTCCATGTGCTAGAGCGTCACTGGCTGTCCTCACGCTGTGTGAGGACCTCCAGCGTCGCTCAATTCCCCATAGGAAAGCATTGAAAAGCATTTTCAATGCTTACCTATGGAGAGCTCTAATGTGCGTGCGCGGCATTGCATTAGGTTTCCTCAGCCAGCGAGCGGGATCAGTCTCGCCCACCGGCTGACGTAATCACTGGGAGGAGCGGCGGCGAGCAGAAACCACCGCCGAGGGATATCGGCGGGGTCTCAGGTAAGTGACCTGAAGGGGTTTTCACCCCTTCAGCTACCGGGGTATGGGTGGTGGGAGGGAGAGGGGACCTGCAGTGCCAGGAAAAAAATTTCCTGGCACTGGAGAGTCCCTTTAACAAAAACTCCTTATAGGCTGGCAATAAGGAAAGAATATCTATATAATCATCATTCCATATTTTTTCTTTAATGCAATTAGTTTAATGAAAACCAAGAGGTGATGCTTCGCCTGCCAAAGCTTCCTTTAGTCAAGACTCATTAACAGCAGGGCCGTCTTTAACGCGGGGCAAACGGGGCAGCTGCCCCGGGCCCAGTTGCTCCTGGGGGCCCAGAGCAGCTGCTCTGTGGGCCCCGCGATTTGCGCAGCCCCCGCGATTTGCGCAGCCCCTGCGGGGAGCATGTGTCAGCAGCGGCCTGGTCGGGCGCTGTGGCGCTTAAACAGCGCGACCGGGCCCCTCTTCCGGTTCTGCAGCCGGCTGGGAGGAAGTGACGTCATTTCCTCCCACCGGAGATAGCCGCGCGAGAGGAGGAAGGCAGGGAGGAGGGGAGTTCCAGAGGAGAACTCCCATCTGCCTCAGCCTGCCACTGGACCAGGGAAACCACCCTCCAGGAAAAGGTAAGAACCTGGAGGGTGGCTAAATGTATGTCAGTAGGTCTGTGTGTGTATGTATGTTCCGTGCGTATGCCAGTAGCTACCGTGTGTGTGCGCCGTGCGTGCCAGTGGGCGTCTGTGTGTGCGTGTATGTCTGTGTGTATGCCAGTATGTCTGTGTGTGTGTGTGTATGTCTGTGTGTGCGTATGCCAGTATGTCTGTGTGTATGCTGCGTATGTCTGTGTGTGTGTGTGTGTGTGCTCGGGGTATGTTCGTGTGTGTGCGTATGCCAGTATGTCTGTGTGCGTGGCTGCCAGTATGTCTGTGTGTGTGTGTGTGTGTGTGTGCGTGCCGCATGTCTGTGTGTGTGTGTGCCAGTATGTCTGTGTGTGTAATGCCAGTATGTCTGTGTGTGTATGCCAGTATGTCTGTGTGTGTGTGTGTGTCAGTATGTCTGTGTGTGTGTGTGCCAGTATGTCTGTGTGTATGCCAGTGTGTCAGTATGTCTGTGTGTATGTAGGTATGTCTCTGTGTGTGTGTGTACGTGTGTGTCAGTATGTCTGCCAGGATATATTTGTGTGTCAGTGTATGTGTGTGTCAGTATGTATCTGTGAATGTTTTAATGTCTGTCTGTGTGTATGTCAGTATGTCTGTGTGTGTGTGTTAGCATGTCTTTGTGTGTCAGTATGTCTGTGTGTGTATGTAAGTATGTCTGTGTGTGTGTGTATGTGTGTGTCAATCAGTATGTCTGTCAGTGTATGTGTCTGTGTGTGTATGTATGTATGTCTGTGTGTGTGTGTGTGTGTGTGTGTCAGTATGTCTGCCAGGATATATTTGTATGTCAGTGTATGTGTGTGTCAGTATATATCTGTGAATGTTTAATGTCTGTCTGTATCAGCCATTACGTCTGTCTGTGTATATGTCAGTATGCCTGTGTGTGTGTGTGTCATATGTCAGTATGCCTGTGTGTGTGTGTGTCAATGTGTCTGTCAGTGTATGTGTCTGTGTTTTTAGTATATCTGTCAGTGTATGTGTTTGTGTGTGTGTCAGTATATCTGTTAATGTATGTGTCTGTGTATGTATGTATGTCTGTGTGTGTGTCAGTATGTCTGCCAGTATATATTTGTGTGTAGTGACTTTGTGTGTCAGTATGTATCTGTGAATGTTTTAATGTCTGTCTGTGTGTGTATGTGCCAGTACGTCTGTCAGTGTGATTGCGGGTTGGACGTAATTGGGAGGTGAGGCAGTGGCAGGGCCCATGGGGCCCAAGAAAATGCATTGCCCAGGGTCCTAATCATATTATAGACGGCCCTGATTAACAGGTGTACTGCTCTTGTCAGAACGATTAACCAAACCAAACCAAATTTGACAAATTCACACTGTCTTCTAACCAAGCCATAGCTGGACTACCAGCTTTACCTTGAAAAGCCTAAAATAAAACCCTCTCCCAGCTTAGCTTCAAGAGAAACCCTATAGCAGGGCTCACCAGTCGAATTATCTATTCCCTCCGAAGGCGCAGTATACGAGGTGCCAGCTTGTTCACCGACTTCAATGACCGGTGTGACGGACCGCCTGGCACCCCGACCAGGTACCTTCATCAATCACTGCTTCCTAGTACTTGCGAGTACCATAAGCACTGCACTGGAACACCATAACCACCATAAACCCCACGAACCGTCGCAGCTTGGTTGGGGTCTCACTGTCCTCCAGCCACCCTGGACCCAAGACCAGGATCCAGCTTCCAGTAGGTAGACCTCTCCTAGTCCAGAGAGCGTAGCAGGAACAGCTTAGTGATTATAGCAATTCCCAGAGTGAACGTAGTTCTCCAATCCCCTAAACATGAGCCTAGACTTCATGAAGGGTAAAACAAGTGTGTTTAATGGAAGCCACAGCTGGCCTTTTATGCAAGTCCCCAAGCAAGGTATACGCCCACATGGACCTTGTGGGGAACAGGGACACAAAGCTTACAAACCAATCAGAACAGTAATTAAATGTACGACACTCCCACACACAGCACACAATCCCTCCCCTCCGCATGGGAGATAATTGAGTAAAGTGTATTATGTAACTCAATTATCTCCAGGCAAAAAAAACACATATTTTAAAAAGTTTCATAAGTACCCTAAAAAACACAAGATATCCCCATAAAACACTCACATAGACACATACACACACTGGCATGTACACTCAGATACACACTGGCACATACACACTCTGACATGAACATTCAGATAGACACTGACACACACACTGGCACATACACTCAGATACACACTGTGATGGACCGCCTGGCACCCCGACCGGGTACCTCCATCAGTCGCTGCTCCCTAGTGCTCACCGGGTACTTCCAGCATTCCACCAGACACCATCAGCACTGTAAACCCCACAAACCGCCGCAGCTTGTTTGGGGATCTCGACGTCCTCCACTCACCCTGGACCCAGGATCCAGCTTCCAGTGGGTGAACCTCTCTTACTCCAGAGAGTATAGCAGGAACAGCTCTACGAGCTAGTGACGACAGGTCTATTGCAGGGGCTATAGTCCTGGGGCAAGAGACGGGCAAGCAGGCCCCTCCAACAACCAGTGATGAGGTTCACTTCACACACACTGACACACAAACTGGCACATATACTCAGATACTCACACTGACACAAACACTCACATACACACTGTGACGGATCCCCTGGGACCCCGCCTGGGCACCTCAGTCAACGGATGCTTCCTAGCTGACGCAGAGGACTATAAGCACACTGCACCAGACACCACAACCACCGCGGACTCCACAACCGCCGTAGCTTAACTGGAATCTCGCCGTCTTCCTTCCAGCCTGGATCAACCTCTGACATCCAGGACCGTGTGGGAGAGACCTCTCCTCCAGGAGAGTGTAACAGGAACAGCTCTTAAAAGAGTTAAGTGATTAGAACCCAGGGGAGTGTACAGAGTATAGCAATCCCCAGTGTGATTATAGCAGTTCCCCTCCAAACACGAGACAAGACTATATGTTGAGGGTCAAGCAGGAACTCTAGGTTTAATGGGGCACACTGGCCTTTTATACAAGTTTAACAACAAAGGTGACACCCAGGTGGACCTAGTTGGGCCCCCAGAACACAAGATTAACAAGCCAATAGAAACAGAGTAACAATGAATGACACTCCCACATACATTACACAATCCCTCCCCTCTGCCTGTGATACAATTAAGGTAGATAATACAATAACCCAATTATCCAAAGGCAGGAAAACACACAATTTCCACAAAGTCACGAAAACACCCCAAAATATAACATATCTCCATAAATACATCCCCTGATAGCCCTGATCTGGGTGAACAACATATCCAAAAATCACCCAGATCAGAGCAAGGGTTCAGGAAATTCCTGGAAGTCTCTTTTGACCGACCGCATGCATGATTTCATGCCCAAAACAGTTCCAGAGAATCAGGGCTTGCAGTCGGTCTAGTTCGGTAGTTTGCAAACGAACAAACAAATGAACAAACTACCGAACGGAGTCAATAGTCTTACCCTGGAGCTTGTTCCCTTCATCCAGACGAATGATCTCACCGAACAGTGCCCTTTTAATTTGAACAGAAACGAACGCAGGCGATGATGGAAGTTCAGCGGTGTTCGCAGTGGCATACACATGACCCATGGGGCCCAGGTGCGAAAATTGATCCGTGGGCCCCCCCCCGCACGGGGGCCGGGCCGCAACACATGACGGTGGGCACCTGGTTGCACGGGTTACAGGGCTGCAACCGCAGTATGTACGCCAGTGCATGCAGATGCACACACACTTAAAGGACCACTACAGACACCCAGATCACATCAGCTCAATTAAGTTGTCTGGGTGTCAGGTCCCTCTAGTTTTAACCCTGCAACTGAAAACATAGCAGTTTCCCAGAAACTGCTATGTTTCACTGAGGGTTAATCCAGCCTCTAGTGGCTGTCTCACTGACAGCCGATAGAGGAGCACACTGAACGTCCATAGGAAAGCATTGAGTAATGCTTTCCTATGGGCGGTTTGAATGCGTGCGCGGTCGCATTCGGAGCTGAGAGGCTGAGGGATCCCCAGCGCCAAGGGAGTCCGGCGCTTGAGAAAGGTAAGTGCTGAAGACACACACACTCTCACTTACAGACGCATACACACTAGCTAACAGACACACACATTTACTGACAGAGACACACTCAGCGACAGACATACATACACTCTCTTACAAAACATACACTCTCATTGACAAACACACACTCACTAACAGACATCAAACAGACTCACTAAGACACACACAGTAACACACTCACTGACACTCACTAGCAGACACACACACTAACACTCACTCTAACACTAACACTCACTCTAACACCTTAACACTCACTCTAACACTCACACTAACACTCACACACTCTAACACTCACTCTAACACTAACACTCACACACTCTAACACTCACACACTCTAACACTCACACTAACACTGACACTCACTCTAACACTCACACACACTCTAACACTCACACTCACTCTAACACTCACACTCACTCTAACACTCACACACACTCTAACACACACACACACTCTAACACACACACTCTAACACTCACAATAACACTCACTCTAACACTAACATATGTTTTGTTTTTAAATGTAATTCTCCCAGCCTCCTTACCTTTTGGAGTGCTGGGTGGATTCCCTCAGTGCTTCCTCTTCAGCTCCCTCAAGCGCCACGTAGGGATGCCGGCGCCGGAAGATGACGTCATCTTCCGGCTCCAGTATCAGTGCGGTGCGCGAGGTAGCTGAAGAGGAAGCACTGAATGTCAGCAGGGCCAGCCTCGGGGGGGCCCTGAGGTGGCCGCCTCCTGGGCCCCCCAGGAGGAGGAGACTGGCCCAGTGGGTACACACCGGGTCGCAGGGACGGCCGGGGCCCCTGGTGGGCCGGGCCCGGTCGCAGCCGCAAGCCCTGCGACCCTGGTATGTACGCCACTGGGTGTTCGGGAGTTTCTGTATCCGATTTTAGTTTCAGGACATTCATGTCCAAACACCGCTTGCCTGCATTCATGTGAACAAGATGGCTGCCACCTCGTGGTTGTTCATAAGAATTGCGGCCTCCCAGACGAACAATGAAAACACTGCGGTGAGAAACGTTCCAAGTTGTTAATAGGTGTTAACAAGCTCCAGGGTGGTCTCTGGTTCGTGCGGTTGTTCGGTAAACGAACCATATAGTCCCAATTGCACGAACCAAGCCTGTTTAAAGTATATTAACCAGTGCAGGGGCCATAGTCACAAGGTAAAAAGCTGGCCAATTAGTCCTCTCCAAGATCCAGTGGCGAAGTTGCTTTTGTCACACACACACTGATACAAACACTCAGATACACACACTCAGATAAACACTGACACACATACTTTATATATTTTCAGCCACCTCATTTTACCGTACCTTTGTGTCCTGAAGCTCTGGCTGAGGCTCATGGGAGTAAGCATGCAGTAGCAGCTCACACCAGCCTCTCCTCTGCCCCCATGCTGCCTGTACAGCTGCTGCTCCAGCCTCCTCTTCTCTACATTCCTCCTGTGCTGCTCTCTGTAAAGCAGGGAGGAAGTGACAGGCTGTCATCACTTCCTCCCTGCCTGCTGATACTATGGTTGGCTCTTAAAATGACGGCACCTGACCTAGCCCCCTTCCTAATTTCCCCTGCTACCTCTTGTCTCAAATCCCCACTGTATCCCTGTAGATTGTAGGCTCATGGGCTATCTAGCTAAGCACGTTGTATAAAAGAGCTTAAATGGCTAGAGCTCAGTTTACGGACAGGGCCCTCTCTACCTTTTGTATTTGTCTGTGTATATTTTACGTCCTCCACTAATTGTACAGCACTGCGGAACCTGCTGGCGCTTTATAAATACCAGTAATAAATAAAATAAAAAATGAGGAAGGGGAATACAAATCATGTATGATAACCTGGTAATCAACACACACACAATGTGATATACATTGTATGTCAGATTGTGTGTGTGATTTTCAGGATATTATACATGATATGAGGGTGTCAGGGAGCAGCATGCAAAATGAGGGAGCCTCCCGGACCTACAGGGAGACTTGGGATCTCTGCATATGGAGGGGCTGTAGGAAAATAAGACACATGGATGGGCTAGGGTGGGGAGGGAATTATACACATTTAGAAGGCTGGAGAAGAATGATACACATTGGGGGTGGGGCACATTGGGGGTATATAAATGCAAAGAATATTTATTATTATTGCCATTCAAATAGAGGCAATATATTCTGCATCACTATGCAATTAAATAAAAGGGTATATCTGGCAAGTAATTGACGTACAATAATTAACCAAGACAAGATGAAAAGAAAGTACTGCTCAAATGAGTTTACAATCTATGAGGAAGGGGTAAAACACGAAAGAGAAATAGCATGTCAGAGGGGAGAAAAGACTAATGAATAAGATGACTGTGTTGAAATAAGCTAGTCAAAGTGGTGTGAGGGACAAGCGAACAGTGGAAGAAGAGAGTCAGTTGGGATATCAAGTCAAGGGAGCAGAGGGCGGCAAGTGTGAGATGAGGAGATGCCATCCAGGTAGATTATAAACTTTCCTAATTAGGTGTGTTTTATTGACTTCATAAAGGATTGGAAGCTAAGGGAGAGTCTGATGGGATAAGTAATTCCAAAGGAATGGGGCAGCCCTTTAAAAATCCTGTACATAAGTTGCAGGAACGAGCAGTTGTCTGGAGAAGGTCGTTAGCAGAGAGAAAGGAATGAGAAGGGGTGTAATTGAGAAAGAGGAAATCTAGTGAGGAGTGGAGTTAGTGAGGGCCTTGTAGGCTAGAGTTAGAAGTTTGAATTGGACCCTGAAGGGTAGGTTCTCTTGGAATCCACCACACCGAAATTCAAAACACATTATCGTTGCTCCAGAGTCCACTGGCGGGGTGCTTTATACCACTCCAGCTATCGTTTGATAATGTGACTGTTGATCTGAGACTTGCTGCTTGGACATGGAAATACCCATTTTCATGCTATGGCAATGGCAGTTAGAGTGTGCTTAGTTGTTTTAATTGTTCTCCTGTCCTGATGCACAACTGAAGTACTGTTGTATCAGCTCAATGCCGTGCAGTGCAAATATATCTAGCCATATCCTTGCTCTGTGCTTTTAAGGCACAGGTGAATGGTTGTAACCTACTGTGTTAAAATTGCTTTTACTAAGATAATGTTATGATTATGGGAGTTTTAAATAGCTTTTACTAAGGTAATGCTATGATTATGGGAGGTTTAAGAATGGAGTAGAACTTTAAGGTTTTGGGGGTTAAGGGTTGGACTATAATTAGAGCTAGGTTGGTTTAAGATTATGGGGTATTTAGGATTGGGTTGCATTGTGATGTTGTGAACAGTAACTCCCAAGATTTTCAATCAAATTAGTTTTATTATCAGCTTCATGGAAGTGGGTACTCCAGAACCCTAACTGTTGAGTAATCTTAGCCCAAAACCCTAAATCTACAATGTATGTAGTACATGGCTGTAAGTCACATCAGCTTAATACCTCACATTGTTTTGTGTTGATCTCATGATGCTCTGGTCCAATCATCTTGCTGTGGTCAAACATATATATATATATATTTTTTTTTTAATTCTTTAACTACTTTTAGCATTTCTGTATCACAGAACAAAGCCAGCTACATATTTTGTATCAATGAATGTAAAATATAGAAATATGATCTCCATGAAAACACAATATTAAAACAATAACATCTATTTTGCATAGAATAAAAAAAATAAAAATAAATAAAGGAGATAGAGGAAGGGACTGTGGAAGATTAAAAGAGCACTATAGCACTAGGAATACAAGTGTGGATTTCCAGCGCTCTAGAACCCTGGTGACTGTTTAGATGGCTGTCCCCCCACCTGAAAGGAGTAAATAAAACATAGCTTACTTACCTTTTCCCCGCAAAATGCCGGTCTCAGTGGGGAAGCTTTGCCTGCTTGCCTGAGATCATCTACCCTACCCCTACACTGACCCTAAGCCATCCCTACCCTAACCCTAAGCCAACCCTACCCTAACCCAATCCTGCCCTACCCTAACCCTAAACTAACCCTACCCTAACCCAACCTTACCTTAACCCTACCCTAACCTTCCCCCTAACTCAACCCTACCCTAACCCTGCCCTAACCTAACCCTACCTTAACCTTAACCCTACCCCATACCCTAACCCTACCCCAACCCTAACATCATTCACATAATTTTCCCTCCCTCTCTTTTTTTGCCACTTTTCAGAAATCCGAAGCACTTCGGCACTTACGAAATTCGGGACTTCAGCAATTCGGTTCGGCACTTTTAACATTCGGAAACATCCAAATGTCCGAATTTCCCTAAATCCATCTTAATTCACATTTGGACTGAAACAAAGGGAGATAGAATCTGCATTAATTGAAATGTGCTTGAAGATTTTGGATTGCCTGACACTAATGAGGTCTGCACATATTTTTTTCCAATTTATATTTTATTGAAATTGTTTTACTCAGTATACATGTATATCAACGCATGTCATAAATGTATTAGTTATGTCAACATATCAACATATATTATGAGCTACAAATATGTACGGTAACAGGCCTCAGGAGCGTCACATATGTAGGGTAGCAGGTTGGTGTTCACGTCCACTGGCTTGAGTCCTGCACTTGTTGTCTTGTCTCTCGGTTCTTTGTAGTTGGTATCCAGCTGCGAGAGCTTCTATTGCTGGGGCAGGCAGGCCTCTGAATAGTCCTGCTGTCTGGCTTTTGCAGGGCTTTAGTGCTTGTATCTGGTTTTCTGTGCAGCTGGTTTGTGTTGTCTCCTGGTCACTAGTCATATGAGTGTGGGGTGACTGTGTCTTGGCAATGCGGTAGCCCGTGCCCCAGGAGTCATCTAGCGGGTCGCAATTCTAATAGAAATGAATATGAGTAGGTATAAGCTAACTGGGGTGTCATGGATGGGTTGGTCTGTGGGGGGTACATTTCTCCCTGTCTTGGCAGCTTCAAGTCTCTTTGCTATCTGTGCCCACTGCAACTCTGTCCAATCCCTGGAAAAGGGTCTTTGGGTCTTCTTTGGGTGTCAGGGTGATGGTTTCGGCTCCCTGCGTGACTATAAGGGATCCTTCTTCTCCCCATCTGTAGCAAATCGATGCTTCTCTCAGTGCCTTGGCTGTTGGAGCTAGTTGCCTTTTAGCCAGTAGTACCTCGAACTGTATGTCTCTGTATATGGCTATTGAGCTATTTTCAAACCGGATTGTGCCTAGTTCCCTGGATCTCTTTATGATGGCATTTCTGGCTGGTACATCTATTGTGACCGCTATTACGTCTTTGGTTGCTCCTGGAGGGACAGTTGCCGCTTTTCTGATGCAAAGCGATATTATTATCCCCTTGGGGTCACTTTCTTTCAGGCCCATCGAGGCCACTTGGCTTTGTATATAGGGAAGCAGTCGCTCCCCATCAATTTGTTCCGGGGCGTCCCTCACTAAGACATTCTGCCGTCTGTGTCTATTTTCCAGTGAGGTAACGGAGCGGGTAAGTCGCTGCACCAGCTGTGCCAGTTTGGTTACTTGTCCCGGGGTAGCCTGTATTTGGCTCTCCCTGGTTTTGTCTCTGTTCTCAGCGTCCAGAACTTTCTTTCTTAGCTCCCCTATTTCTGATTGCTCCTCTTTGAGGTCTGCCTTCCATACCTTGCGGATGTCTTGCAGAAGGTGCTTCATGTCCCCTTTTGTAACCGGTGCGGAGTCTGGGTCTAATTTGGAGTCTGAGTTAGACTCGCTCTGTCTTTGCGGGTGTTTTCTCTCCTCCTCCTTGCTCTGAGCCGCGGGCGCCATTTTTGAGCGGTCCGTCTGCGCGGGCCTCTCAAAAGAAAGCCTGATATCAGGCATTATCTGGGTCTCTAGAGGGCAAGATTTTTTGTGCTTGCACCCCATGGTGGTCTCTGTTCGGGGGTTCGGCGTTGTCCGACTAGCAGGTGTCGGTTATTGGGATATTTTGCAGTTTTTTGCTAGGTTGGGACAGAGCTCTGCCGATATGCGTCTGTTCATGCTTGGTGCTGGCCACGCCTCCCTGCACATATTTTTATGACATGTTGTTAACCATTTTTTTACAATAAAGTATGCACTTTCCATAATCGCCCCGGTGGATTATTCTGAGATCTTTATGAGTGCGGACTGTTTGGCTGGTTTTGGTGATTTTGACCCTGCAAGGTTGCAGAAAATGGTTACTGATGTTAAAGGACAATTCAGGTAAATTAACTGACTGGTTGGAAAATGTATTACATTTTTCATATTCATATGTGGTTTGCCTTATATACATTTGCATTTATTTCAATGCATTACACTGTCCACGCGAATGACAAGCTTCAATAAAGCCATTCAAATACGGAGGTGTATGGGTGAGTTATCTGTCTAGCTGAAGAAAGGCAAACTGTAGAAATGTAACAAAAAAACAAAAACAAAAAGAAAAGTGTAAAATGAGGGCAGAATAAATATAGTGGCATCACATTAGAACTGAGCTCAGATATAGATATCCTTTTTAGGTACTGTGTGTTTACTATATTACTCCACTTTTTGTATTTTCTAGGCTGATTAGACTTGGTTCACTAAATGAAAAAAGGATGAGATAAAATAATTCTCAGATCTTTAAAGTAGTCAAGTGCTTTTTAGCTTTCCTTATATATATTTTTTTTAGTTTCAGAAATACTGATTTTTGTGTATTAATTTTATCAAATTTTCTGAAATAGTCTACAACAGATAACATATTGAGAGGTTTCTTCTAATTAATTATAATAAAAAAAATATATAAAATATTAATCACATTGAAAACTGCATTTGTTTTCTAAAGAAAGTGCTACAATTCTTTGGGCATACCAGTACATAGGAAGAGTCTTTGCCTTGGCCTGCCCAACCAGATGCTCATACCAATATTAAAACTTTAAGAGCACATCGCAAACATTTTCTGCAGACATTCTCCAGTTCAGAGTTGCAATCTTGTGATTCTAAAAGTGGTGGTTACCTGCATTTTGTCATAAACTTACATTCAGACATATTTTTATGGAAAAAAAAAAAAGGGATCTATCATTACTTGTATGAGTTGGATAGTTAGAACTTCACACCTCTTCAGGGTATACTATGGATAGCAGTGGCGAGGATTTTTTTTTGAGGACTGACTTGTAGCATCTTATGCCCTGATATATATATTTGCTTAATTTTCTTATTTACTTGGATAGAAACAATTTGAGTATAGCCTATTTAAAAAAAAAAAAAGGTTGAATGAAACAACAACAAAGGCCGCAGGATCAATAACCAATTTTATTGATACAAGTTATAACACACTGCACACAATAGAGAAATTGTGGTGCAACTTTTCATAGAGCAATCTGAGCTTGTGTCATCAAATAGCTATGATGTGCAGTGGTTCATCCAGGTTCTCTACTGGAAGTACCATGGTGGAGTGCACTCTATAGGCCGCTCATCCCAGATGGCCTCCAGCCTCCTTGCCCATAAGAGCAGCATGTTTTTCCTTTTTTCATCTCCAACATATTCTGGTGCATAAGTAATTTGTGGGGCAAGGACTTTGAAACCACAGAAATGCATTATGCCATGCTGAGAAACAAAAAAAATCAAAAAACAAGTAAATAAGGTGATGAACAATATCCTATAACATTTAAAAGGACAGTTTTTTATATTTTATAAGAAAGCAGCACCTTAAAAGTGTAATAGTTCAAAAAAGTACAGTCTAACTAAATTCAAATAAAAACAAAAACCTCTGAATAAGAATATTTTTTTTGAAAGTGACAAATTAGTCAAAATTCTGGTAAGTGCACTTTGCAAAAAACACTTTACTTCTTTTATCTCCTTTATTTTGTATGAAAGCACGTATGAATGATTGAAATTTGATAAAGTACTATTTTATGACAACGCACCTATATATCTATATATTTGAATGCTACAATTGTATATCTTTTGTAAAAAAACAAAAAACACTTTACTTTATAGACACCATATGACTGTATCTTTCAGAATGAGTACAAAGAAAAATGTAAGAACCTGCTCTAACTTAAAGGGTTACTCCAACATGACCATTTCAGCATTTTGAAGTGGCCATGGTGCAACAACCCAGGATGTGCAGTGTTCATACTTAGATATCTAATTCCTGCCAGAAGTGCAACTCCACCTCCAGTGGTGTCATTAGCCAGCACCGGATGAATGTTCCAGGCTGGCTAATGTCAATTCTATGCCCGTCCCATGCATACAGATTCATTGATTGGCCGACAGTGTTTAGTTGACGCTCTCAGCCAATGAATACTCAGTGGTTTTAGAATCTGGCTGCTGCGGGTTTACAGATGCTTAGTGAAAATCAGCCGGTATTGAAGGAGACTTGGCGCACAGCAGGACCCAAATAAGAAGCAAATTGTTGCAGAACACTTTGTGCACTTACTGGGAAATGGCACCCAAGTACTCAGTACTTTTGGTATCATTACCACTACAGTGGCAGGACTAGATTAAAAGCCCATTGGGCCTGGTGCTGACAATTATGATGGGCCTAATTATAGAATCGTATCGACAGAAAACACTAAAATACCTCCCAATTGTCATGTATCTGGTGGAGGTGGTGCTGGAGGGGAAAAAAAAGCAGGATATAGCTATCAGAAAACACATGTCCTATGCTAATTTCTCGATTTCATCGTTCAAGTAAATTCAAACCCCCTAATAGCAGTGTCTTTTGAAGCAGGATTTCGGTGGGCGGGGTATAAGGGTGGGCCACTAACGTGAATCACGTAACCAGAATCACATAAGGGCAAACATGTCCCAAAAAATCTGCCCGAGGAATTAGGTCAGCTTGGTAGGAATGCATGTCAGGCTGCCTGCCAATCATGCAGGATGACCAACTAGGGGCATACTGTGCAGAGAGCACCCTGAGCTTGGCATAAATGTGTCTAATTATGCGCTAGGTCTATGCTTTCAAAGGACTGTCCCCTAGCATTCACCTGTCCCCTCCTTTCCTAACTTTCTTAATAGACAGAAGCAGCAAGAGCATTTGCATAGAGCGCAAAGTCAACTTTACCTTAACTAATTTCATTGTCAGCCAGTCCACACAAGTTTTGTTTCCCTACATCTACATGTGAAGAGAAGTAAAAAAACAAACAAAAAAACCCCCCTTTTTTTATTTAAGCAATGGGCCTATTCCATAGGAATGTGCCTGGAGCTGCAGCTCCATCAGCCCCTATGTTAATCCAGCGCTGTAATGGGTGTACTGGTAATGATGCTTGAAGTTACCCTTTTTGTTCCTAAAATAGTATATATATATTTATATGCTTAAATTCTAAAAATAGTACTACATATTGCTAGCTAGTATACATTTTGCCAATAGTACAATTCCATAATGGCATGTGATATATGATTGCTTGAACTTGAAGGGCTACACTGCCTCTTTTCATGTAGCTCATCTTAATAAAATGAAATGTTATTACGACTGCAGTTTTACAAGCAAACTGTCTCCACTTTTCTAAATCAAAGTACACTTGTTAAATGTTTTTGACACACTTTACAAATGTTTTAACATCTAGGTGTAATCAATATCAAATACTGTATCATATGAACATGAGCACATAGTGATTTATGTATACAGCAATGAAGCTATTACCTGCATGGGCCAAAGCAAATACCGGATATCACCGCGCATCCCATCCTTAGAAAACATCTCCTCTGTTCCACCAGTAGTGAATGAGAGTAGAGCTAGTTTATCCTGAATGTCAAAATAATGGAATTAACAATAACTGAATACTGATTTTAAATTATTGAATAACAAGCTTTTAGAATAAACTTAATGTATTTTACTGAAAACTAGCTTTAGAACTTAGATATATATTTAATTTCTATTAGAAAAAGAGCAAAAAAACAAATATGGAAGTATGAAACTATGTTACAAGAATCATTAAGGAGTTTTACACAAACACACAGCACCCAGCAACTTAATTCTTAAAATGTTAAAATCTGAAATGCTATTAATCTATATTCTTTAAAGGTGCACTATAGGGTCAGGAACATAAACATGTATTCCTGACCCTATAGGGTTAAAACCACCATCTAGCCCCCCTGGTCCCCTCATGCCTCCCTAAATATAGTAAATCCTACTTGTATTCAAGTCTGGAGCTGCTTACTTTGTCACTCTTTCCTTTAGACCTGCCCACTGCCTGCTGACATCATCAGAAGTGGTAGCCTGATCCAATCACAATGCTGCCCCATAGGATTGGCTGAGACTGACAAAGAGGCAGATCAGGGGCAAAGCCAGCACAATTCAAACACAGCCTGGCCAATCAGCATCTCCTCATAGAGATGAATTGAACCAATGAATCTCTATGAGGAAAGTTCAGTGTCTGCATGCAGAGGGAGGAGACACTGAATGTTTGGATGCATTTTAGGCAGCCATGACCCAGGAAGGATCTCTAACAGCCATCTGAGGAGTGGCCAGTGAAGTTATCACTAGGCTGTAATGTAAACACTGCATTTTCTCTGAAAAGACAGTGTTTACAGCAAAAAGCCTGAAGGTAATGATTCTACTCACCAGAACAAATTCAATAGGCTGTAGTTGTTCTGGTGACTATAGTGTCCCTTTAAATGGACACTATAGTCACAAGAACAACTACAGCTTAATGTGGTTGTTCTGGTGGGTATAATCATTCCCTGCAGGCATGTTTATGTAAACACTGTCTTTTCAGAGAAAAGGTAGTGCTAACATTGCACTCTAGGAACACCTCCAGTGGCAACTCCTCAGATGCAGAGTGTGGTGATGCTGAATTTTCCTTAGAGAGATGCATTGAATTAATGCATCTCTATGAGGAGGGGCTGATTGGCCAAGCCAGAGTTTGGCCCGTCCCATCCCACCTCTTTGCCAGTTTCCATAGGCGTGCGCATGGGGTGTGCCTGGGCACACCCTAATCCCCGCGGCCCGCACTATGTGCCATAAGCCGGAGGGAGGAATCAGAGGACCCGGGGAGCTCTTACCAGCAGCTGTGCCGGGTTCCTCTTGCGAGGTCGGAGCGTTGCCGTGGCAACGCTCAGATGTCGCGAGAGTGAACTCTAGCCTCGCAGGCTAGAGTTCACTCACCACTGGACCACTAGGGATGGCGGCAGCACGGTCCCCCCTCCCTACAAAAGGTAAGAAGGGACGGGGGCTATTAACTAAATGGTTCAAGTGAGTGCAGCCCTCTTGGTTTCTTTTATTTATATATATATATATATATATATATATACATATATACGCGGCGTGTGTGTTTGTGCTTTAGGGTGCACACCCTTATGCAATAGGCTGCGCACGCCTATGCCAGTTTCAGCCATATGGGATTTCAGAACTATGGGAAAGTATTGGATTGGCTGAAATCATAAATTATGATGATGTCAGCAAAGAGGCAGATCGGAGGCAGGGCCAGCAGCAGCAAACACCCGCGGCGCTGGAAATAAAGTAGGTTTTATGAGCCTTCTTTGTGGGGCTTGGGGGAGGGCAAGCCACCTAAATGGTGGTTTTAACAGTATAGGATCATGAATATGTTTGTGTTCTTGACCCAATAGTGTTTCTTTATTATTATTATTAGTATTTATAAAGCGCCAACAAATTTCACAGCACTTACAAATTCCATCTACAGTGCCTGATACATGTGTCTTGGTTCACTCTCTTGGCAATTTCTCTCTTTTTTTCATTTTCCCACCACATTCAGTCCATAATTGAAGACATTAAGAACAGCTCCAGTTTTCAGTCATTTCTAACATTATAACATAATTAATTAGTCTCCAAAAAATGTCTGACATTTCTGACCCTTCATATAAAGCATACACGTGCTTACACACCTACACTGTTCTTTCTACCCAGGATGCATTCCTTTACTCATTACTTCCTCATATTTCAATCTCTAGGATTTCCTGTATCTATCAGCTTATCACTGCTATCCAAGTATGGACAAAACTGATATTGCTAATGAGGAAGTGTAATTCTACATTACTATAGGTTTACTCCAATCATTTTTGCCACTTTATTAATTTAATTCATAATTTATTGAAGGGCATTACTATTTATTAGGTTTCACCCCTCCCCCCCCCAAAAAACAATAAAATAACTAATAAAATAATTCAATAACTTACCTGAAATCCAGTGCTGGATGAACCTACCAGCCTGACTTTCCACTCCCTTTCGGATGGCAGCCATCCCAGGTTCCAATCAAAGGTTTCTCATAGAGAAGCCTTTTAATTTATCTTTTAACTGGTTCACAAGGCAAGTTTGTTAGTAAAATGAAGAATAACTGAGGGTATAGCAGGCGGGAAAGCTTCTGTATAGGAAGAAGGGAGGGGAGACAAATGCTGTCTCTGCCCGCAATGGATAATCTAATTATGTCCATTGGCAATGTACAATTTGCACTGAGGATGGACTTATTTTAGAGTTTCAGAGTCATGTGTGCTGGAGGTATTACTAGCCCCCGGCACACAAGTGCATTTATCTCAGTATGTGCAGCTTTTCAAGCAGATATTCTGCGATACACATTCCTACCACCACACTAGTTCTAAAAGCAGGAGGGGCGATGGTAGTTGTATTAACCCTTTAGTACAACAAATGAACGAGTAATCTCTGGGTACCTAAAGGAACCCTTGTTTTAGTTCAACCATTTAAAAATGGTATGATATGGTACATAACTGGGCTGTAGTGGTTATGGTTTGCAGACAGATGCAAAAAGGTTATCCTTTCACATTTATAAAAGAAATCTGTTATACACTGACATTGCAGTGTCTTCAGACAGAATGAAATTGTGGGAATAATGCTTTTTATTTTCTTAATTTATAGTATTTATAAAAAAAAATTTCAATGTATAATGTATGCATAAATACCTTCAGTAATCCTGTATCATAACAACCTGGAAAATCAAAGGCAAAGCCCTGTACAAATACTCGATCTATCCAGCCCTTCATTATGGCAGGAAAGCTGTACCAATACAAAGGGAACTGCAATAAAGTAAATTCAGATTTATGTTGTTATAAAAAAACAAAAACAAAGCAGGATATAACTAACAGCATGCCAGGATGATATGTTAAGCTGAACATTTTTGAACAGTGACAACATTACAGCCAAATCACCTAGGACTGCCAATCTGCAGCCAAAACCAAAGACTGCCAACATTAAAACAGTACAGTGCCACTGGTGGAAAAAGTAAAGATAAGAAAATTAGGGAAGGCTCACAGAAGTGATTATTACATTTTATATAATATAGTATCATGTGTGTTTTAAGGGGACACTATAGGCACCCAGACCACTTCAGCTCATTGAAGTGGTCTGTGTGCTGTGTCCCTTTTGCCAGACAGCCACTGGGGGGGTGCTTCTTGTATCAAAACGGACCTTTGCTCCAGTATCTGAAGCTCTACATGAGGGCATCCAGCGTAAGATTTTTCCCACAGGAAAGCATTGATTCAATGCTTTCCTACAGGAAGGTATAATGCGTGCGGCATTTGCTGTGCATGTGCAATAGCGCCCACTCATTGTGGGATATCCGAGGGGGTGCGTTGACCTACCGTCAAGGGATATTGGTGCTGGGATCAGGTAAGTAAATAAAGGGTTTTTAGCCCTTTATTCACCAGGGAGGGAAGGGGCGCGAGGGAGTGGGAAAACAGGGGGAGTGATAGTGCCAGGAAAACAGTTTTGTATACCTGGCACTATAGTATCCCTTTAACAGAAATTACTGTGATGTAGCATTAGGCTGACTGATCTGTGTAATAATGGGGGGCACCATACAGTTTATGCAGCAGTTTCACTAATGGTGATAAGAAACAATTTAGCTTTTTCAAGTCTATATTTGCTTGCAATGTGTTATTTGCTCATTTAAAAGTATGTGCCTTTAATTTCCTACTGAACTCTGTTAAAAGCAGTGGAGGAGGTTCCAAAGGGGCAGGAGGCGCAGCAACCTCCCAATTTTTGTTGAAAAAAATAATCCAATGTTCTTAGTAAAGACTAATGACACATCTGTGTCTTTTGAGTGTTGATTGATTCGTCATGGCTGGAGATACTGCAGAGCAACTAATGATGTCAAGGTTTTGGGAAATTTTTTATTTTTTTAGAAAAAAAATCATTATTTTCTAGGTATATACCCCTCAGACATGCTTAGTCTGCTCTAACTAGATTTTTTTTTAACACTTTCCATTGGTTTGGCATTGGGCCATAAGATTCTGGGCAATCTAAAAGACAGGCCTGTGTTTTACCCTGTCTTATAGGGCTGTCATTGAGTAAAAGATTTAAAGGGACACTCTAGTCACCATAACAACTACAGCTACAGCTTACAAGCTACAGCTTAATGGAACTGTTCTGGTGAGTATAATCATGCCTTCAGGCATTTGCATGCATACACTGCCTTTTCAGAGAAAAGGCAGTGTTTACATTGCCCCCTAGGGACACCTCCAAGTGGCCCCCTAGGGACACCTCCAAGTGGCCACTCTCTGCTGCACTGTAGGGAGCACTGCCTTTCAGCTTCTCCACGCTCTGCATCTCTATGAGGAGGTGCTGTTTGACCCCACCCCAACCCTGCCTCCTTGCCGATTTCAGCCAATCCAATGCTTTCCACAAATCTGAACTTCTGATGATGTCATCAATTAGGCGGATCAGCGTCAGCGGACTCATGCAGGGCCAGCATCAGCGGACTCATGCAGCGCTGGAAATAAGGGGAGTTTTAACATTTTTAAGGGGGCTAAGGAGGGCATACCACCTAAATGGTGGATTAAACACTATAGGGTCAGGAATACATAGTGTTCCTTTAAAGGATGGACTCAGACCTCTAGGGTGTTGATGTTGTTTCCAAAATACATATATTTATTATTATTTTTTTTTATATAGTGTCAACATATTCAGCAGCACTTTGCGATGTTATAAAGGGGGACAGTTAACAATAAATGAGACAATCACAAATTATAACAGAAGCAATAGGTTGCTGAGGACCCTCCTTGAAATAACTTACAATTTAGACAGATTTCAGGTGTTGAACAGGTATCACAAGAGAAAAGAGGGTTGCACTCAATCATAAAAATTACAGGGTGCTGACTGAGTATGGATCTCAGGGACTCAGTCAAGCTTGATAAAGAACTGGGTACATGTCGAAACGTTGCGCTGTCCATTAAATCTGCTTAAATTTATAACAGCAAGTGCCTGAGATATTTCTTTCTTTTAAGGTGTTGAACAGCTCATGACATTTCTTTTAGGAACTCCTCCCACACAACATCTCTTATACACCCTCCTAGAAAGTCTAGAAGTTAAATCAACCAAATCCAGTCAAAAACTGCAGATAATAAAAACTCAGTATGGAGACAGCACCAGTGGTTAAAGGTAATGTTAGGCTCCCCTTTATTCTTGTCCATTGTTGGAAAATATATATAGAATATATTTATTCTTGTCCATTGTTGGAAGATATATATATATTTATATATATATAAAAATTTCCAGTTGACCCACACAGACATTCCAAAAACCGACTTGGTTCCGTTCTTACGACTCAGTCGTAAAACTAATTGGTCAGTAAGCGAGGATGTGCTAAAGTGCATGCACTAGAGAACAGGTCTATGTTTGGGGAAGATCCCATGAATCTATGTTCGGGGGAAAATTCTCCAAACATAGATTAGCTCACTAGCGCAGGGAATCCCTGAAATCTATGTTTGGGAAAAATTCCCCAAAGATAAACCAGCTTTCTAATGATTCCTCGAATCCACACGTTAGAGAGCTGGTCGTAAATATGACTAGTCATAAAGCAGGTAAATTGAAATGCAGAGGTACAGTTTTGTATTCAACTGGCTGTGGTTCATGCAATTAACATTTTTAATGGGATTAATCTAATATGCGTTGGAACTGGTTCTCTCTGTAATGGCACAAGTGAGTGATGATTTATCGATGGGCAGTTCTCAGAGTTCTCATATTTCCTTGTTTTGTTGCAATTAACAATTTTAAGCTGATTACCTGAAATATAATTAAGTCGGCTACTTTAACTTTTTCCTGTTCTTTGAGTATATCTTCACACAAAACACCTTTCTTGAATGCTTCCATTGTCTCTGCTCCATAGCGGAAGTGCTGTGGATTGCATAGTTCTCCTACAAAGATAAAGCAGAATTAGGATAACATGTACTCCGGGCCAGCAACCTACATAGAGGACCACACTTTTAAAGTGCTCTCTATATGTGGCTTATGCCTTCTGCACAGTGAGTGCTGTGCTGCCTGGAGACAGTTCCAATCAGGGACACCAGGGAACTAAAGAGATACAGGATCCTTGAAATCTGGACTGTTCTACTATTGAACATGCAGCTCTTTTAATTCACAATTTCAACACAATAAATGGAAAAAAATCAACCAAAGTTAATGATAGAGTAGCAAGGCCTCAGTGACACAGACAAGTAAAGAGCCAGACAATAAAGGTTCATGTTCCGTGAGATCCAGTTCAGCATTTTTCTTTGTTCTGAATTAGAAATGGGCTTTGTCCATGTTTCCTTATGTAAGAAATTGATATTCCAAACTGCAATATTGTATATAACTTTCTGTGTATGTGACTGGTTTCACAAGTGGGGGTCATTTCCTTGATAATAGTGTGATAAGGATCAAAGCTTTCAGTTGCATTTTACAACACCCAGCTAAAACAAAAGCTTACATCCCTCCAATATTACAGTATAGCTGGAGGGAAGAGATCAAAGGGAAAGACTTGTGTAAAGACAGAACTCTCTGGAGAAAGAGGGTGGGATAAACCACTTTTGGGAGGGAAAAGGGATTCTGGGACTTGTAGTTTATTACTCCAAGAATCAGTCTTTAAAAGGACAACAACCAAGGAAGGCTCTCTCTCTTTCTCTCTCTCTTTGGAGAGGACAACGCGGCAAGCAGGGCTATGGTGAACTAAGAGAGGCTGTCCCAGATTACCCAAGATGAAGGCGCAAGGGGAAGACCTGCATTTAAATGTTTAAGTATTGCCTTTTTATTATGTAGCTTTTGATTATGTACCGGATATAATGTATAATGTATATTGTGTATATCCTTTTAAAATCTAACAGTATCCTTAAATGAATATTTACAATACATTTTATTATACACTTGTGTTTATGTCTTATTTGTCACACATTCCCTAAAAGAATATCCTTGTAAGAGGGTCATAATTTCTTACAAATTGGCGAGCCAGGTAGGAGGGATTTAGTGTGATTTATGAGCATATTCATAATTGTATAGATTGTATATTTACTTTTGGATACTGTTCAGATATTGTGTATAGACATTTCAGTGAATTGTGCGCTTTCAATGATGGAGAGTTTATTGAAAAAGATTGCTAAGGTGTCTAATCCAGAAGCAATAATTAAATGTATGGATGGTGCATTAGATCCGTGGCTTAATGCTCAGGATTATGTGGCCAGGGCAATTATTGAAAAGAAATTGTCCAAAGCGAGTGGTAAAATTGCTTTGATTTATGCTGCCCGTTGGATTGCGGAGAAGTATAAATCTTTAAATAGGCAAAAAGAGAAATTAGAGGCAGACATTTTGAGTTTAAAGAATGAAGTGGAAGGTTTTAAACTGTCTGCGCAAAATGCTGCTGCTTTGTGTGTAGGTAGTCAGCAAATGCGTCTTGAAAATTAGGAATTGCACAGTTGTAATGAGCAGCTTGTAGAAAGGCTGAAGGATGCAGAGGGTGCTATTAGAATCCTTGCTTCCAGCAGCCAGAAAGAGGCTGATCATTCTGTGTGCCTTAAAGAAATTGATGATTTAAAATGTAAACTAACAAAAAGAAATGGTTTTGCTGCTACTAAATATGGGCTGAAAACCAATTGTGGAGGTTTGTGTACAAAAAAATGGAGGTGTTTCATAATAATTATAGTAATTGTGAGTGCAGTATTCCTGCTAAAATGTCACCAGTCTCTACAGAGCACATGGTGGATGCACAGGGAAATGTACTACATAAAACTACTGTGACCCATTCCTTAAAACATACAGAGGTACACCCCAACGCCAGCCGCACTCTCGACCCGCACGGACTCTCTACCCCTTCCTCGGTGACCCCACCGCTTCGAGAGGGTACTAGATTACACATCAACACAAGTTCGATAACTGGTAGCCATTATAGTCTAACGCACACTGTTCACCATTGTACTACCATGTTTTTAAACGTACCCTGCGTTGGTACAAACCTGTCTGAATGGAACTGTTGTACCCCCCCCCCCTTTTTTTATTTTCTGTACCCCTTCCCTTGATTACTGATACCAACACAAAACCAATAAATAAAGAATGATAAAAAAAAAAAACATACAGAGGTTATTGCACTGAGCAAAGAACTGGGATGTATAAGCTTGGATGATGATCCAATAGATATAATGTTAAAAATTGATCAATTTGAAATAATACACAGAAACTTAAATGAATTGGATATTTTTGATGTTATAATTGCTAGTACAGACCATTCACTAAGAGCAAGTCTGCCACATGAGATATTTATAGAACCTAGAACCAAGCAACAGCTTATCAAAGAGTTATTAAACGCACTTGGTCTAGAGGAAGTAAATCATCATTTTGCTTTTGGTAATTGTGCTCAGAAGAGAGGGGAGTCTGTTCAAGGGTTTGTAAATAGGTTATTTGTTTTATTCAAACTGACTGTTCCACCTGGAGCACATGCTGATCACAATGAATATGCATATAAGAAAGCATTACTTAATAGGACACTGCCAGATATTCGAGAGTTAATTGGTTTAACTGTGTCCCCACAGGACACCTTTGTAAATATACAGAATTGCTTAAAAAGGGCTGAAGCAATTTTACTAAATCAAGAAAAAGTAAATAAAAGACAAGTGTCATTGATACAAAGTCCCCAACCTCACGGATATATCAATCAGAGAAAGTCCCCACATATAAAATCCATTACATGTTTTAGGTGTGGTAGGATGGGACATATTGAAAAATTTTGTAAATCAGATGTGCATATTCATCATGAAAGGCCCATGTGTGATAGATGGACTCTGGGAAATAAAGATAATCAGCCTAGGTGGAGATCCCAGAGAAAAGATAATAATGGTATCTCCCTCACAGGACCTTGGATTCCCTACCATGTGCTTAAAGCACAGAATAGACAACTAAAGGCAGAAAATCTTTCTCTAACATGTGAACGAAATGAGTTCCTTGAAAAACTGGATTGTCTCAAGGCACAATTAAGTACATTAGAGGATATGGTTAATACAAAGAATCTGATAACAGATACAGTTTTTCTTGAATGACCTATTCTAGTTGTGTGTTATTAACTTTCTCTTTAAGTTTGTTTTTTTAGAAAACTACGGAGATGATGCCATTTGAGAAGGAAGACAAATATAGACCTGTGAGAAGACCAACCATTTAACATGTTTATTTATTTCAGGAAAAATACAGTTCCAGTTTATAGAGGACCTTAATATGTAGTTTTATGATATTTTATTTCATATTAAGGATAAGCCTCTAAACTCATTCATTACAGTCAGGTGGTCCAAATTCCAAATTATTTTTGTTTTTATTAGTTTAGCACACCTGCACTTCCAGCTATGTTTTATTTTTGTATTTTGATACTGGAATACTAATTTTATATATTTCTAGATTAGATGAATTGTTGCCAAGGTGAGGCTTATACGTTGATCACACTGGAGAGATGTGATAGTGTAACTGTCTGTTGGTTTACAACAGTAAATATTTTTGTTTTTGTTTTTTTTTTCATTTGGTTACCAACACAAATAGCCTCAAGCCGATTTTTGATTTTAATCTTTGAAAGGCAACAGACCATTGTCAGTTTTCTTTTAGATTGCACGCTGCCAAACTTTGTATACAGTTCAATGACTGAAGGTAATGGTAGCATTCAATCTACTTTTTTTTCTCTCTCCATCTTCTTTGATTTTGTTGTTTTCTAATGCTTTTTATTGTATTTCACAATCTAAAGGGAATATAGGGAAAACGGATAATTGCATATATTTTACATTTCCTTGGGTCAAGGTTGGGTGAACAATAGAATGATAATGGTTATTTTTTGTTTGTTTTTGTTTTAATTATACTCTCAAGGTGGGGTATAGCATATAGACAAATTAGACAATTTTGTATTTTATATTGTTTTGAGTCAAGGTGGGGTGACTGACAATATATGATTTTGCATTTTCTATTTGCTCTGTTTGGTTTTCCACAAGGGGTTAAATATTTATGGTTTTAGTAAAGTTATAGTAAATTATTTTATACTGTTATGAGGATGTATCCCTTAGTACACATTAATATTGGTTGCATTTTGCTCACATTTGTGTTTACAATGTTTTAGATGACCACTTGTGAATCCAGACGGTAATACTGAGACAAGGATGATAATTAAACCACTAGTGATTTGCATAATGTAACACTGCGCACTTTCTGTGCTAAGAATCTTTTAATTTCCAGAAGCCAAGGGCCTATCGAAAACTTATTAAACATCCTCAAGGGCTCAAACACAAACCCACTTCAGCTATACAACTTTTAATAAACTCCCAATAAACGTGCACAAACACCTTCACTCAGATCCCCACTCCAAACAATAAACTGTGTTTCTCCCTTGTGTGGTCTCTTTAATACACTATGTAAGTGAACAGCAAATTAACTGCTGTTGATGTGAAAATACACCAGGTGTCATGGTGGGCAGAGGTCAGAGGCCTATTAGCCCAAAGTAAGCAAGGCCAGGGTTAAAGGACCAGTGTGGTGGAAGCAGTGCTGGTGGCACAGGTAACTGAGCATGATGGGAGTGAAATCTAATGGTGGCAGTGATGCTGAGCCTATGAGGGTAATGAAAGGTTACGGATATGGCTGAAGGAGTTCAAATTAATGGTGAAAAATGATAACTGAGTGCCTCAATGATTTGGCTAAATTATGCATTGCAGTACCCTAAATTATAAATATGTGGTTGTCAAGTCATTTGTGTCTCAGTAAAACACATAATCATTTAAAACACACATAATACAAATACTGTATTTCTTTGAGAGGGCTCATTTTCTTGTTGAGTCATTCGCCCTCTAGGTGGGGACTGTAAGAAATTGATATTCCAAACTGCAATATTGTATATAACTTTCTGTGTATGTGACTGGTTTCACAAGTGGGGGTCATTTCCTTGATAATAGTGTGATAAGGATCAAAGCTTTCAGTTGCATTTTACAACACCCAGCTAAAACAAAAGCTTACTTCCCTCCAATATTACAGTATAGCTGGAGGGAAGAGATCAAAGGGAAAGACTTGTGTAAAGACAGAACTCTCTGGAGAAAGAGGGTGGGATAAACCACTTTTGGGAGGGAAAAGGGATTCTGGGACTTGTAGTTTATTACTCCAAGAATCAGTCTTTAAAAGGACAACAACCAAGGAAGGCTCTCTCTCTTTCTCTCTCTCTTTGGAGAGGACAACGCAGCAAGCAGGGCCATGGTGAACTAAGAGAGGCTGTCCCAGATTACCCAAGATGAAGGCGCAAGGGGAAGACCTGCATTTAAATGTTTAAGTATTGCCTTTTTATTATGTAGCTTTTGATTATGTACCGGATATAATGTATAATGTATATTGTGTATATCCTTTTAAAATCTAACAGTATCCTTAAATGAATATTTACAATACATTTTATTATACACTTGTGTTTATGTCTTATTTGTCACACATTCCCTAAAAGAATATCCTTGTAAGAGGGTCATAATTTCTTACACTTATATGACATACTCTGTGTTTTCATCCCCACTCACCTTCTGTATCCCAATCATCTAGTGTGTATCCCATCTTCTCCAATGTTTGCAAACCTTCGGTTATGTCTCCACTATGTCTTTGGTACCTGCTGGTATTTCAGGTATGGACTGCCCTTGTGGGTGGGATTAGTCTTATATGAGACTGGCTCAGTTTCTTCTAACTCTTGTTTTTTTGGCTAATGTATACAGAAATGACTAGGGTATACCTAAGTAAAAATGGTAATCCAGACATGGACTCCTTGCTCACTATGCATTGGGGATATCGACTAACCCTTACTGACGAGGCAAAATGAAGAACAAAACTATTTTCTGGGTTTTCTGTATCTCTTGTGCTCAGAAAACGTGCCTGTATTTCAGGTCTGAAATACAGATTAAGGAACAGTGCACAAAATAAAAAATACAGTTTTAAATCTTACAAGAGAATCAGAATCCTTAGTGCAGGCAGGTATACCCTTTATTTCACAGTCCACTGGGAATTGTGTTTTTAACATTAAGGGTATGTAGAGATTCGGCAAACATCTTCCACCCAAGGACAGGCAAAAAATATTCCCTCCATGACAGGTTAAACTGTGAAACTACGGATGTGGAATATATACTAAAATGCCCATATGGCTTAGCCTACAAAGGGAAAACCAGTTGTGCTCTCTCAGTGAGGGTAGGAAAGCACAAGAGCAATACACTCTTATTGTAATCAGCTCTCAGCAGTTGCGACACAGTTTGAGGCACACATAGGCACTAAGTGGCCCAATTGTGGTGCATGGCCATTGAACATGTAAAACACCTGCACGAGGGGGAGACATGAACAGGAGACTTAACAATGTGAGTTGTTCTGGAGTTACAAACTTGATAATCGTTACCCTAATGGCCTTAATATAGATAGGGATTTTTCCTGCTTCCACTGAGATATATTAATAATATATGTTATATAATATAATATATACTAATATAATAAGTTTTTTGTATTATTTTGGTATTACTTAATAACATATCAGTTATGGTCTCTGCTTCCATGTTACACAAGTAATTTTTTTTCCTGTTATTCACAGGTATAGTCCCTGCAATCGGATCATTGTGTTTTTATTCTCCATATATCCACCTCTACTAGCTTTCCATGTTTTTAGATCACTAATATTGTTTTTTATCTTTCTTTTTTTGTTTTTTTTCCTACCGTCTCTTCGCTTAGATACTGACCTAAGAGGTGTTGTGGCCATAAAGCTCTATTTTGTAGCACAGACACACATACTCAGATAGGCACTGGCAGGTACACACAGGCACACACACACATCACTTGATGTGTCTCCATTCTCCAATCATCTCTCACAGTCATTCATAAAGTAGAGAGTTTCAGGATTGTACCTGTAATGTCATTTCGGGTTGCTGCTGCATTGAAATTCATGGAATAGAGATCTGATATGATGATGCTGCATCCTTGCTTCTGTAATACATCTACCGCAATGTTTTTCAGAGATCCATTCATAGACTTTGGCTCCTGGTGCGCATACACTATTAGAACATTTTTGCCTAGAATGAAAATAAATTGTTCAATAACCGTAATAAGTTATTTTTGCTTACCCATAACTGTGCTTCACATCAACTACACTGACAAGAAAAGTATGTGAAATGATTTTAGAAATTATTGCATTTATGTATAAATTTGTCTTAAAATTTGGTTTGATGTTCATCTGAGCTAACAGTAATCAACAAACACAATGATTTAAGTAATACACAAATTATTGTACTGTTATTATACATACAGAATATATCATTCAAATAATCACTATATAGGTTGCAAAAAGTATGTTGAACACTATGCTAATGACTTCAACAAAAGCTAATTCGAGTTCGAAAATGGCAAACTTGCTGTCCAATTAATGAAACAAGATTGGAGGTGTGGTTTAGAGCTACTTTGATTTGACTTTTAGAAAAGCACTCACACATTTTTTTTGATTTTTACAAAAAGCATATATTGATGTGAACCATGCCTCGCAAGAAAAAGAGCTCTCACAATACCTGTGATCAAGAATTGTTGCGTTGCATAAAACTAGAAATTATTTTAAACGTTTTCTCAAAGAACTTTTTATTTATCTGCCCACTGTTAGGCAAATTGTCTATAAATGAAGATGATTTAGTAACGTGGCTAATCTCCCTAGAAGTGGTCGTCCAGCCAAGATGAAGGCGCACATTGCATAATTCTCAATGATGCAAAAAAGAACCCTAGAGTCGCATGATTTGAGGCTGCTTTGCTGCTACAGGGCCTGGACCTTTTGCCATCAGTAAGGGAAAAACAAATTCCCAAGTTTATCAAGATATCCAACAGGATAATTTCATTGTGGTTGTGCACCAACTGAAGTTCAGTAGAAGTTAGGTGATGCAGCAGGCAATGATAAATATTGAAGTAAATCTACTACAGAATGAAACAAATAAAACATTTACCTTTTGGAGTGGCCCAGTCATAGCCCAGACCATAAACCCTTAGAGATGCTGTGTAATGACCTCAAGAAAACTTTTCACACCACATCCTAAGAATAGAGAGAGCTGTTCACATCCTAAGAATATGGCTGAGCTGAGGTAGTAGTGTAAGGAAGAGTGGCCAAAAGTTCTTCCTCAGCATTGTGCAGGTTTAATCCACAGCTACCGAAAATGCTTGGTTTAGGTTATTGTTGCCATCGGAGCATGCTCAGACTGTGCATATGCCCAGTGGGCATCAAAAGAACTCCCCAGGTGGCTCAGTGATCCATTAGTCACTTGTTTGAGCCAGGCTCAGTCCAAAAAGTAACTATGTCCCTTTATGGGCCGGTGGGGAGATCAAAAGTAACAAAATGGAATGAAGAATAAATGTTTCTTCTTTTTCTTAAACTGATTTTTTATTTTAAATAATATTAATATTTTTCTGAAGTACTCATCGCCCACCCCATGTCTAACCTGTTAAAGTTTAATAAGTGTGTAGGTGTTCAGACAATTTTCTGAATCGTTATGACATAATTTAGCATACTGTAACTAGCATATTTACTTTGACTACTTTGATTTCCTGATTTTGCATTCTAGCAGCTACTTCTCCTGATTTTCTATGCTAGCACCTGCACCTATCTTACCCTTTCCTTGTCTGGATTCCTGACGGTCCAGTGGGGGTCCTGAAAGCCTGGTGGTCCACTGGGGACTTTGGATCCCTAGTGGTATAGTGGGAGTCCAGGATCCCTGATGGATTAGTGTGAGAGAGTGAGACCTGCACATCCGGTAGGTGTATTCCACAGTAATCACTCCTTCATGGTCTTCGCAGCATTCAGTGAGTCAGAGTGGATGCTTAGAATCCTGGTGGCTCTGACTCATTGGAGAACACATGAAAGTGAGAGGGCATTTACCGAGGTCTGCACCCACCAAAAGTAAAGCCTTTTGCTTCCTACCCTGGCTTACAGCAGGGCTAAAAGTTAACTACATGTCCAGGGTATCAGGCAATATAAATTTCACATCCTTGTCAGTGTATGGCATAGATGAACTCAAGGATGTAAATACGCAAATCACAACTACAAAAGTTGGACAGGAACCATTCATTTAAACAAAGGTGGTAAGAAATAGAAAGGAGTACCGGTGAAGCGCTTATATGTAAAATGAAATAGATATGGAAGAATATAAATACAAGTATACCTTTAAATAATAATAATTTCTTTTTGCGTTGTCAATAATTTCGTATTAACCTTTAAACAAAACAAAAAGAGATAAACAACATAGTGCAAACTATTTTTTAAAAGGAAAAAGGATTTTTTAAAAGAATGCCAATTGGCAACTCACACTTTTCTGAGCTATTAAATCTAGCTCAGATTATTGCGCCTTAGGGTCCGTGTAGGCGACCCTCTCCCTTCTTCGTATTTCTGCAATCCAATCCTATATGAGTATAGACGGGGGTATATAGCCCAGTATCATCTGTATTATAAATAGAACATATAAAATAGTGAATTAGGTACTCACAAACAAAGAGGCTCACTTCAATGCGCATATGTGGTTAAGGACCACATTCCTTCTTTATATTAGCAGGAAAAAAGCCATAAGTGTATCAAATAATATTATTTATTGACTATATTAAAATTTATTCAACAGAAGTAAAAAATCTTATAAAAAAATATATAACATAACACTTATTCGGCTAAAAGTCCAATAAAGTCCCAAAAAGTCTCTGTGCTCACTTTTCCTCCAGAACGCGTTTCACCAAAAGGCTTCTTCAGCTGGAAAAATCTGTGTTGCTCCTGTGGACCTCTTTCCTGCTTTAAATCCCCTTCTTGATTGTATATTCAGCTGTATGTGCTTGAATTTTCGCGGGTATTCTCCATAACAACGGAGATACCCTGTGTTTCAAGCCTCCTTTGAGTCTGTTTACTTCCTTATTACAAGCCGATATGTCACTTCCGGTTTCGGCTTTTTCAGGGCTGTGCGTTCCACAGTGCTTTCCACTGTCTGTCCTTAATTACTCAGCGATATTTTTACAATTTACAAAGCAGAAAGAATATGTTAGAGATCTTGTTAGTTAATCCTCATCAAAAAGTCATTTTAACATTATTAATTCATTATAATATTTATTTAAAGAGACATTCATTATAGTAAGCTTGCATAATTAAAAAGACATCCATTATGATAAAATAGCATAATTTTGATATTTTAAAAAATCCCTACTTGTCATGTTCATGTATTACTATACAAATACCTATTTTACTATATAAATACCTATTTTACTTTATATTAGGTTTATTTTATTATATTCCTTTTATGCATATTAGGTTTAAAATATAAATAAATTTTTAAAAGTATGCACATTCTCATTTTTCATTAGCCTATGTAGTCTTGATATCCTTACTATTTTATTTTTATATTTAAGCAATTATGTATTTTTGGAATTTTAAATATTAAGGAACTTATCATTTTTAGCCTAATTTGAAATATCCCAGTATTATTTGAAATTAAGAACCTTCCAGTATTCCCCAATAATTTTATAGAATGTTTGATGTTATTAAAATATCAAAATTATGCTATTTTATCATAATGGATGTCTTTTTAATTATGCAAGCTTACTATAATGAATGTTTCTTTAAATAAATATTATAATGAATTAATTAATGTTAAAATGACTTTTTTGATGAGGATGAAATGACAAGATCTCTAACATATTCTTTCTACTTTGTAAATTATAAAAATAATAATTTGGATTTTCAATGGATTTTCATTTGTAAACTGAAAATTATGTTAACCGAGGCGTTTGTAAAGCGAGGTCCCACTGTATATATATAAAACAATAAATGTCTTTTGCGCTCATGCTCCAATAGATTGCAACAGTTTATTGCCAGGTGTCAGACCTAAGTCAGATGTATATAAAAAAAAATATGCCAAAAGGTAGTCTGCATTCACGGTCTCCATGTTAAAAGTTAGCATTTATTTCTTTATCTTAATAAAAAACACTTCCACAAAGTGCTTGTAGTGCTACAGATGATTGACGTTTCAGTCCCTGCTGTCCTGAGGAAAGTCCTGAGCAGTCCTGAGGTCTGTCTATCAAAAGTCCATCTACTGTTAATATAATGAGAAGAGTAAGAACGATATTGATGTAACCTGGCAGCCAAGGAGAGTGGACTTGAATGTGAATGTATGAACGATGACAACTTGACTGTTCTAGTCAGTGCGGGTGCTAGACGCTATTGAGTGAGCATGTGTACTTTAAAAAAATAAATCTTTATTTTTGAGTGCAGAGGTAAGTACATGTTTCAGGGATGTCACATAAAATTTTTATGTATTCAAGAGTAATGCAATTAAGAACAATATCAACGAGTATTCTCCAGTAGGCATATGGTAACAATCCTAGTAGGAAGCTAACACAGCAAATATTATGCACTCTCGGGGATGTACTGCCTTCCGTTATAACCTGAACTACCAAAAAGGCATGCTCTATTAAGTAGATGGAGGGGGTAGGGGTCTACAGGTAGATAGTATTATGCATTGGACTTGATGCAGGCAGTAGACTTCTCTGTCCTACTGCACATATACTATGCGTGTTAACTAGAATATACAGTCTATAAACCTGTCAAGATCTATAACATAGGCAAATGAGTTTAAAAGTAAATTAAAAGAATGAAAAGTAAATAAAATAAAAAAAAATTTCAACTGTGCTTAATGGTGGAAAATGGGTGTTCCCATAGTGGGAGACAGGATACTTCTTGCTTCATGTTGTACCACCTCAGGTCGGCTCTCCAGCAGGTACTATGCACTGTGAGGCACAGGGAGTGAATTACTTGACTGCAAAGAGATCCAAGCGAGAGAGGTCCGCTATGTCCATCACCTGGGGCTCCATTATGCCAAGGTTGTATAGGTGATTCTCTAGTTCTGGGTGGTTCCGAGCTCTATGCACAGTCCCCGAGTGAATGAACAGCAACTGTTTAGGTGCGTCCCATCTGTAGGGAATTAGGGAATGTCTTTAGCACGGAGGTGCTGCAGGAGGGGTTGTAGAGATTTGCACTAGGTGAGTGAATTTCTGATTAGTTCTGGGAGCACCTTCAGCTGTGAGCGGTTGCGGTAGTTGTTGCGTTTTCTGGTTTCGGCAGCCTGAACATTCCATGCAGTTTCACTTGCTTCGTCTGTTTAGGTGGTAGTAAGTTTGCAAATAAAAGCTGAACAGATGATGTGGCAGATTGGGGAGACCCACTGTTTCCGGGATACCCCGAATCTTCAGCTAATACCTGCGCTTCAGGTCCTTTAGTGCATCCACCCTCTGAGGTCAAGAGCTGTTATCTTTGGAGATTGACAACTTCTGCTCCAGTCTTCCAAGGTGTAAGAGGAGTCCTCTTTCCCCAGGGCCATTTTGTCCCAGGTATGCTTTTGTGAGTCCCGTAGGAAGTCTCCAATATTCCTGTTTGTAGGGACCTTGTCTGGCTTTGCCATTTTGTTTTTTTGCCCCATTAACAGGATTTGTGGGTGGGTGAGTGCATAAATTCCACCAATTATTTAACTTTAAGGCTGGGCTAGGTATAGAGCTCTGACAAGAGTGTCCGCTCCGGTCCTCAGTTGACTCTGCACCCGTGAGCATGTGTATTTTGTTGCTGTCGTATTCAAAATTACTGAGTGAGTACAGCAACAAATCTGCATCAAATCGTAAGCTTGAACCAGGGCCGGACTGGGGAAAAAATTAGGCCCGGGCATTTTTCAATCAGAGCGGCCCCCTAAGAAGGGGGCGGGGCCAGAGAGGGTGTGTTTTGTCATCACTAATGACAAGCACGCCCCTCTCAAAGTGAGAATGTTGGTTCAATGCGCAGAGCCCTGCTGAAGAGCTCTGGCATTAGAAAAAGGCCCTGAATTTGTTCTGCGCAGCGCAAGCAAATTTAATAACATGCTTGCGCTGTGTTTGCTTTTAAATTGTCTCTGGTGTCTCAACAAGTGGGATACCAGAGGACAAAAAGGCCAGGAAAGTGTATGGTGCATGTGTTTGGAGCCTGCTTGTGGGATTGCGTGTGTGTAGAGTGTGGTGTGGTATTGTGTAAATAGGTCAATTTCATATGTGTTTGTGGTGTAATATGTGTGGCTAGGGGCTGTAGAGAGTGTGTGTATAGGTGGCATAGTGTTATAGGGGATGTAGCGAGTGTGTGCATACGGGCTGTAGTGTGTGTGTATATGTGACGTAGTGTGTGTAGGGGTTGTAGAGAGGGTGTGTTTAGAGAATGTTGTATGTGTTTGCTGACAAGGAATGTAGTGTGTGTGTAGGTGGTGCAGTGTGTGTGTAGGAGATCTAGTGTGTAAAGGACCCAGAGTGTATAGGAGATTGTGTGTGTGTGTGTGTGTGTGTGTGTATAGAGGATTAAGAGTGCATATAAGGTAAGGGATCTAGCGTGTATCTGGAGCGTAATGTATGTAGTGCTGTAGTGTGTGTGTGTGTGTATATATATATATACATACATATATATATTTGGACGTATTGTATGTGTGAGGGGCGCAGTGTGTGTGTATGTAAGAGGGGTGCTGTGTGTGAGGGTGTTTTTATCTGCCGTCACATTCTAATTTTCTTTGTCTGTTAACTCACTGAGGGTTATTTTATATATTATATATATATATATATATATATCTGTAAATATATATATATATGTATATATATATATATATATATATATATATATGTGTGTGTGTGTGTGAGCGAGGGTGCTGTGTGTGAGTGAGGGTGCTGTGTGTCTGAGTGCGCTGTGTGTGTCTGGGTGCGCTGTGTGTGTCTGGGGGTGCTGTGTGTGTCTGGGGTGCTGTGTGTCTGGGGGTGCTGTGTGTGTCTGGGGGTGCTGTGTGTGTCTGGGTGCTGTGTGTCTGGGGGTGCTGTGTGTCTGGGGGTGCTGTGTGTGTCTGGGTGCTGTGTATGTCTGGGGGTGATGTGTGTGTCTGGGGGTGATGTGTGTGTGTCTGGGGGTGATGTGTGTGAGTGTGATTTTTTTTAATTTAAATTTTTTTTTTTTTAATTAATAATAATAATTTTAAAAAAAAAGTTATATCCCCCCCCTCCCTTCTTACCTTTAGCCTGGGAGGGGGGGGGCCGTTTTGCCTGGGACGGGGGGGAGCCGTTCTGCCATGGGAGAGCCATGCTGCCTGATCCCTGGTGGTCCTAGTGGTGAGCGTGAACTCTAGCCTGTAGGCTAGAGTTCACTCTCGCGAGATCTGAGCGTTGCCGCGGTAACCACGGCAACGCTCAGAATCCCGCGAGAGGACCCGGCGGAGCTGCTGGATAGAGCTCCGCCGGTCCTCTCCTCCCTCCCTCAAACCCCAGCAAGCGGCCGCCTGGAAGTGTCTCTGGTCCGGTAAAGGGAGATCTTTGATCTCCCCACCGGCCCATGGAGGCACACAGCGGGGCCGGCGCTCGGGTAGCGCTGGCCCTGCACGGGCTGGCAGGGGAGATCCTGTGATCTCCCCTGCCGGCCTCGGCCCCACGGCCATCGCGGCCCACCGGGCATTTGCCCGGTATGCCCGATGGCCAGTCCGGGCCTGGCTTGAACATTCTTCCGCAAAAACTATTCTGATGATCCAGAACGCTTTTGGGGACAATGAATTATTGCAGAGCTAATAAAAATGTGGCACAAATGCTTTAAAGATGGTGGAGAATCTGTTGAAAGATTTGGTGCCATGAGACTTCTGGCATTTTTTTCCCAAATCTAAAATTACCTTTGAAAAGAAAGAGATTTCAGACCGTCAATAAGATTTAGGTAAATACGACAAAGCAACTGATGGCAATTCCAACAAAGGATTTTGCAGAGTTTTGTAATCAAGAGATGCTGGGAGAAATGTGTGAGGTCCCAAAGTGCCTTCTTTGAAGGGGACTGAGGCATCATTCTCCCATGTACAATGCTTCTTGAATCTTTTTCAAAAAATGTCTCTATTTTACATATTACATGGCTGGATATTTTCCAGACAGATGTCAACTATTTAGATCTTAACTTGGAATTTCACTTTGAATCCTTACTTAAAGGACCACTCTAGGCACCCAGACCACTTCAGTTTAATGAAGTGGTCTGGGTGCCAGGTCCCTCTAGGATTAACCCCTTTTTTTTTTTTTTATAAACATAGCAGTTTCAGAGAAAGCATTATGCCTGGCTGAATGCGCGCGCAGCTCCTGCCGCGCATGCGCATTCAGCCGAAGAAGAGGATCGGAGGCGGAGAGCTCCCCGCCCGGCGCTGGAAAAAAGGTAAGTCTAACCCCTTTCCTTGCCATCCAGCCCGGCGGGCACCCGGGCACCCTCAGGGCACTATAGTGCCAGGAAAACGAGTATGTTTTCCTGGCACTATAGTGGTCCTTTAAGTAAATAATCCTGTCTGATCTGGTAGTGTTTGAAATATAACAAGTAAAGGCAACATACACATGTGCAGTGTATATCTATATCTAATATATATATATATATATATATATATATATATATATATATATATATATATATATATATATATATATATACACACACACACACACACAGAGACACACACACACAGACACACACAGTTGTGCTAAAAAAGTTTGCATACCCTGGCAGAAATTTTAAAATTTTGGCATTGATTATGAGAATATGACTGATCCTGCAAAGAAAATATTTTATTGAAGGGTAGTGATCATATGAAATCATTTATTATCACATAGTTGTTTTGCTCCTTTTTAAATCATGATAACAGAAATCACCCAAATAGCCCTGATCAAAAGTTTACTTACCCTTGGATGTTTGGCCTTGTTACAGACACACAAGGTGACACACAGAGGTTAAAATGGCAATTAAATGTTAAATTCCCACAACCGTGGCTTTTTATATTGCAATTAGTGTCTGTGTATAAATAGTCAATGAGTTTGTTAGCTCTCACATGGATGCACTGAGAGGGCTAGATACTGAGCCATGGGGAGCAGAAAAGAACTGTCAAAAAAGACCTGCAGAGCAAGGTAATGGAACTTTATAAGGATGGAAAATGATATAAAAAGATGTTCAATCATTTATTAAGAAGTGAAAAATTCAGGAATCTCTTGATACCAAGCCAAGGTCAGGTAGACCAAGAAAGATTTCAGCCACAACTGCCCAAAGAATTGTTTGGGATACAAAGAACCCACAGGTAACCTCAGGAGAAATACAGGCTGCTCTGTTTGTTTCAAGGAGCACAATACGATGATACTTGAACAAAAATGATCGAGTTGCCAGAAAGAAACCTTCACTGCGCCAATGCCACAAAATCCAGGTTACAATATGCCCGACAACACTTTGACACACATCACAGCTTTTGACTGGCACACTGTAATTTGGAGTGATAAAACCAAAATAGAGCTTTATGGTCACAACCATAAGCGCTATGTTTGGAGAGTTGTCAACAAGGCCTATACTGAAAAGAATACCATCTCCACTGTGAAGCATTGTTGTGGCTCACTGATGTTTTTTAGGGGGTGTGCTCTTAAGGCATGGGGAATCTTGTAAAAAGTGATGGCAAGATGAATGTAGCATGTTATCAGAAAATATTGGCAGACAATTTGCATTCTTCCGCAAGAAGGCTGCACATGGGACGCTCTTGGACTTTTCAGTATGACAGTGTATGACCCTAAGCACGAGACCAAGTTTACACTCCAGTGGTTACAGCACAAAAAGGTGAAGGTTCTAGAGTGGCCATCATAGTCTCCTGACCTTAATATCATCGATTGTAACAAACCACTGTGGTCATGTTCAGTCCTGGAACTTAGGTGCAGTAACAGTTCTCCCTTGCAAGCATGATACACAGAGAGCATGAGTTTGAGAACAGCAGTCTGTTGGTTCAGTGATGGCACAGGGGGCTTTAATAAAATAACAGAAAAAAATCCAAGCCAAGGTATCTGAAGAAGGGTCAGGCAGAAATCAGAGTCAGACGGGCCAGAGATTAGGGCGGGCGGTAATCAGAAAAATCCAGAGAGCATGCAAAGTCAGGAAACCAGCAAGGACAGGAAACACAGGGAAACAAATGCTAGGAGTTCTGAGACAGGCAAAAAAACAACCAAGCACTGACTGAAAGCTGTGCTCTGATTATAAAGGAGTGTCTCAATCACATAACCAGGTCTCACCTGTTGAAGGGGTTACCTCAGGTCAATGTGACAGACTGTGGGACTCAGACCCATCTTGGATGCATCATTGTCCTGGCTCCGCCCCTCAGCCACACCTCCTCCAACCTGTGACCTGCAGACCAGTCTCCTCTGCAGCGGCGGCCAACTTGGAATGGCGGAGCAATCACTCTGAGTTTCCTGGCTGTGAATTGAGGTACAGAGGATGCAGACTGGGGTGCAGCATCCACAGGCACTATAACCGATGCAGACTGATCTGTAGTGAGTACCGTCAGCGAATGTGACATCGAGACACTATGGGGAGATCTCAAACGTGCGGTTCATGCAAGATGATCAAAGACTTTGCCTGACCTGGAGACATTTTGCCAAGACGAATGGGCAGCTATACCACCTGTGTACCCATATAATCTGTTGTTATGAATTTCATGGATTCAATTGGATACCTACTTTTGGTTCACTATTCAAGTATGTATGTAAAAATAAATAAATAATAATAATAAAAAAATAAATAATAATAATACATTTTTTTTTAATAAAAATACACACAAACACAGAAGATTGCCAAGGGCCCAAGACAACCTTTGTCTTTGTTTCGTAGATGAATGCTTAAAATTGCATCTTCATGTTTCCTGTCACATACTGGAAAATAATATCTATTACCACCATTCCATACAGATATTGTCAGCCTTATTCATCAGAATTCCTGCTGCCCAGTATGAGTCATTCCATCCAAAAATCCCTGAGGTAATCTGAACTATAAATTAGATTTTCAAGCTTTATTTAAAGTGCATTTCACAAACCTAGAAGCAGATTAGCTAAATACTTGCACAGTATGAAGCGATAAATGATCTTACCTGGCATTCTGTATTCTTGTTGATGTTTACATACAATGAAACCGTTTAACAGAACGGACAGTTGAGATCCTGAAGAGTACGGTTAATGGGTTTCAGAAAGGGCTTTATTGAGCTGTTCAGTGTGCAGCAGTATTTTCAATTTAGAAGACAGAGCAGGCTGGTCAGCTCACATGAACAGAGAGATTCAGCAGCACTGTCAGCACGGAACTAGATGCATACACGTGCATAGCTTGGAGATTTTGTGCGACAGCTTGGGGCCTTCATTCAGTGTGCAAGAATACCCTGGTATTGTAGTTGATTTGTATTGTTCATGCCATGCTCAAACCGATCCCCTAGGAAACAAGAACAGTTGACAGTAGTTCCACTTTCTTGGTCACATTTGATTCTAGAAATCTTTAGTCAATGAAGAGCTACTGAAAACATCCATGCTGTGTTAGAATTCAAGAGTTTATCAGGGTTATCCACTAAAGTGAGAATTCAAGGAGAAATTCAAATGCAAGGCAAGAGTAGCCGAACTGAAATCATAGCTGATTTAAAGATTTATTTTCCATTCCAACTAGTTTGACCTTGAATTTGAAATTCCCTTTTAATTCTCACTTTAGTAAATAATTATGGCAGACTCGGCAGTGTTTGAAATATCACAAGTAAAACCAAGTAGGCCTTTTTCAGCCAATCGTTGCACTATGGACCTTTTGGAATGTATAAAATAAACAAATAAAATAGTCTAATCCCACCAAACAAAAGTATGGTGCAAAAGGCTCTTTCAATACATTTTGCTTTGTTCTCGAAGAAGATTAACTTGTGTGAGCAGTTTCCATACAGCTGTGTGTGTGCACAAATCCACTCTTTTAAAAGTTGCACTATTAGTTCTGCATGTGTGTATGTTTGATGGAGGACATAGAGAGGTATAAAAATTACTACTAATAAACAGAGTTAGAATTGCTTGCCATTAAACAGGTTTTTTTTGTGCTGAAAATATTTTTTAATAGTGTCGAGGCCCATTTCTATGATTTAACGTCCCCAATAAGACCTGTACGAGCACACCATGAAACATGATATTTTTTAATGTAAACAAGTTTTTTGGTTTGTTCATTTACAGTAGCAAAGAGGCAATAAGATTACATTAAAGCAGCACTGTCATGCCAAACTTACCTTTCCCCAATCGATTCCTCTTCTCTCCCTCTCTCAGGATCTGTTCTTCATTTCTTCCTGTCTGCTCTAGTTTTCTTTAAAACTTAAGACAAAGCCATGACCAGCGGAGGAGCAAAGTGTGCATCGTTTCCGGTGGTCAGAGAAATTTTCCCACAATCCTTAGCTTTCCTCCCTGTTCCCACGATGCTTCCTGTCAGTATTGCCGAACGTCTTGTCACTTAGACAGAACATCGGCAAAACTGCTGAACAGAATGAGAACAGTTTGTCCATTCGTGTTAGAACGCAATTCGGGACTTTGTTCATATCGGAATTTCATTCCAAAAAAGGACAAATAAAAAACCATAATACCCGTCAAACTTAAAGGGACACGCCAGTGCCAGGAAAACAAATAGTTTTCCTGACACTGCAGGTCCCCTCTCCCTCCCACCTCCCATCCCATGTTGCTGAATGGCTGCTCACTGTTAAAAAAAATGGCTGCTCACTGTTAAAAAAAACTAAAAGCCCTAGTACCCTAAAAGGATGAGAGGTGGGACCTATTGTCCTACCCCCCGGCCCCCACCCCTGAGCGGTGGGTGGGGGTCATAAATCACAACGGGGGGGACACCTACTGTCCTCCCCCGTCCCCCACCCCTGAGCGGTGGGTGGGGGCCATTAAGGATAATGAGGGGGAGGGAGGAAAAACCCAAGTTTTTTTGCGCTCTAGTTTTTTATTTTATTTTACAGGGACACTCCAGGCACCCAGACCACTTCTGCCCATTGGAGTGGTCTGGGTGCCAACTCCCACTACCCTTAACCCTGCAACCGTAAATATTGCAGTTTTCATAAACTGCAATAATTACATTGCAGGGTTAACTCCTCCTCTAGTGGCTGTCTACTAGACAACAACTAGAGGGCACTTCCTTGTTTATAGCACAGGTTGTGCAATAGCGTCGCTGGACGTCCTCATGCTATGTGAGGACCTCCAGCGTCACTAAAATCCCCATAGGAAAGCATTGAAAGCATTTTCAATACTTTCCTATGGAGAGGTCTAATGCATGCGTGCGGCATTGCCGCGCATGCTCATTACGTCTTCCCCGCCAGTCTCCCCCCGGGGGGGGGAGCGTGGGCGGACCCTAAACCAGCGCCGAGGGACATCGGTGCTGGTCTCAGGTATGTCACTGAAGGGATTCTAATCCCTTCAGCAACATGGGATGGGAGGTGGGAGGGAGAGGGGACCTGCAGTGTCAGGAAAACTATTTGTTTTCCTGGCACTGGCGTGTCCCTTTAAGTTTGACGGGTATTATGGTTTTTTATTTGTCCTTTTTTGGGGCTAAAAAAAATGAAGATTTTAGAAGAAAGAATACATCAAATGGTAAGTGTGGCAAAACTAGCCACTTAAGAAATGTATGTGTGTAAAATGTTTCATTTTTCGTTTACTTCCCCTTTTATTACATGTATATGTATAGAGCATTTGTGTGCTTGTAGCATACGAATGCCGCCAGCGTTCCGCTTGGAGTTCCACAAACAGTGATTTTCAAACACTGTTCGTGAAACAAACAAACTGCCGAATGTGTCTCCCATTAAGTACTGCAACAATGTATCTCCAGTTTATAAATGGGTTTCGTGGGTGGCCGCTGTTCGCATACCGAGCACGTGGCGGCAGCCATCTTTGTTCGCGAAAGCACAGCGGTGTTTGGTCGTTGAGTGCCTGGAACTAAAATCGGCTACTCGACTTACCAAACACCGCTGGACTTCGAGGCTGTTTGTGCAAATAATTATTTTGGTAGATTAAAGCTTTTCGTATTTTCTCCAGGTACAATGTCTGTTCACCTAAAGTTGTATTTTGCACGGCATTCGTTTGTTTCTGCAGGGATCTGAGTGGTAATTCACCAGACGATGCGCTTAGATCCCAGCTATGAAATAAAGGGTCAATCGACTAATTCTGCTCACTATTTTACAAGTTATGGATTTTAATGTACAATTGTATATTTAACTGTACGGAGAGATAATGTGATTATCAGTACATTCTTACACAATTATCTCTCCTGTACAGCATTGCCTGATGGGAAAAGACCTTGCAGGGTCAGTTTCCCTTACAGTCCCCTTGATTAAAACCCCTGTAACACCAGTCCAGAAAACCCTTGCATGGGGACCTGTATAAATTGTGTGACATTGGACCTCCAAGCTATGTGTCGTCTAGTTCTTGGGAGGAAGGGAATGTTATTACGCTACCTGTGTTTTACCTGCTTTATCCTGACTACCAGTGGAGATACTGTGGATTAACCCCTACTACTCCGCTACAATTGGTGGCAGCGACGGGATTCAAACCGCACAGCAAAGCAGCGTTCGGCAGTTATTTATGCGAACAGAGGAAAAGGAAACAGCAATTCGTGAAACAACCATTCATATGAAACCGGAGTTCAGGAATAAGTGGAATTACACGAACAGCCTGCGAATGGAAACAAATTATAACATTTTGAAAGGGACTTCACTAAAGGAATTACTAGAGGCAAGGGGAACCACAGCCAGCAACAAGACAAAGGCTACCCTTATTGCCGAGCTCATGGATGGAGACAGAGCAGCTGCTGCAGCACCTCCAATGGAGCTGGATCAGACTGAATTTGGAAAGGAACTCAGGAGCAGGTTGGCATTTTTACCTGAACCACCATCCCAAGCAACAGTGGAAAGAATCATGGCGGATGTGCAGAAGTACCTACTGGCCCGACAACCAACCACGCGGCGATCCCAAGAAGGATCCCCAGATCCTTCCCAGGGGAAAGTCTAAATCACCAACTGGCCTTCAAAAACTATACCGAAGCAGACGGAGAGGTAGATGACTACCTACAGGACTTTGAAAGGCTGTGTCAGCTGCGTGACATCAGCCCAGCAGACCAGGTACCCCTGCTGGCGGGTAGGCTATCGGGCCGCGCAGAAGAGGCGTACCGCGCAGTCCCAGACAAGGACAGCAGAGACTATCAGAAGGTCAAACAAGCCATCCTATCCCGGTATGTCATCACCTCAGAGGCATACCGACTTAAATTCAGAGCAAAAAGCAAAAGCAAGCAAAAGATTCACACACAGAATGGGCGCACCGATTACAACGAGCCGCCAAGGGATGGATTGAAGCGACACAGGTCACCACCCTAGATGATCTGTTCCAATTAGTCGTACTGGAACAGTTCTTCGACTGGCTGACCACAGAGCTGCAAAATTGGGTCAGAGACCGAAAACCCCGTACCCTACCAGAGGCCGCCAAGTTGGTGGACGAGTTCCAGGACACTAGGCGAGAGCAACGACCCCAACAATGGGCCGCCCATGGATATACAGCACCTCCACCGGCAGTGACCACTACAGCTCATCCACGACCAGGGGTAAGCCACAACTCATACACTCCCCAGTACAATACCCGACCACCAATCCGCTGCCATACATGCAACCAGCAGGACTGCCCAAGGAACAGGCACCTACCCAACTGGCATAGCCAGGGCCCATCACCTCCTACAGAGCTGCGGTACACTGTTACCAAAAGGATCCTTGGTTTCTCACACCCCAACTACCTCCGTGGAAGAACCCCTGGGAACCCTGCATGAGGTGAACCCCATCCAGGCTGCCTCAGACAACCGACAGGGGCATTGCCAAGTCGTACACATGTAGGAGAAAGGTGTGCAGGGGCTGCGTGACTCTGGGGCCACCTTGACTCTGGTCCGGACCCACCTTGTGCCAAAAACCAACCTCACTGGAGATTGTGTAGCCGTGCGGGTGGCAGGGGGGTCCATTTACAAGGTACCTACAGCCAAGGTACATTTGGATTGGGGAGTGGGGCATGGAGATGTGGAGATGGGGATTATGTAGGACTTGTCCACTGATGTTATTTTGGGCAACGACTTGGGGGAGCTCAAATCCACCTTTGTTCCCCAACCCACCATTCAAGCAGCATACCCGGTGGTTACTCGGCAGCAGGCTCGCTCCACGGCTCCATCTGATCACTCTGAGGCTCAGGTAAGCAATGTGCCCCACACCCCTTCTGTTAATCACTGGGATGCACACTTAGAATTTGGCAGCGAGGTAGCTTTAGACCCTTCCCTGCTGGTGTACAAGGGTAAGCTAGCTAAGGACCAAGGCGGGCTGGAGGGGGAGAGATACGCCTGGGACAAGGGATTATTATACCGGCATGCAGAGAAGGTAGTAGCCGGGTCTA